AGAGACTCCAATCCTCTTCCTAAAGCCATCCAAGGTAGTTATCACACTTCCTGCTGTGGTCCCATTTAACAGCATATTATGTCATTGTGAAAATAGCTGGGTAGACCTCTTGGAAAGGTATGGGATGTTCTATTTTATTTGTTGTTAGAAACTAGAAACTTCAGTCTAAGCTTGATAAAAGGAGTCCAGGCTGCCCCATTAAACACACGGTTCTCAAATTCTATTCTCTAAGTCTTAAGGGGTTTATTTGTTGTATCAGAGATCATATCCTTTGGTGAACCTAGCTATGGAGGTAGGAAAAGGCATGTGTGAAGAACTTGTTGATTCAAGCAACTGTGATCATGAATTTCTACAGCAGTGAAGGAACCAGACTAAGAAAGATGGCACCATAGGAAGCAGAGAATAGATGGCTGACAATCAGGATGTGGGGAAACAGTACATGTAGGGAAATGGCAAACGTCTTTGAACAAACTGCAAAATGATTCCAGTACTCTCTACCAAGTCTCTTCATTACAATAATCACTATAATATTGTCCCCTTAGTCATTTCACAACGTGTCAACTTCTTTACCTTTAACTGTAATAAATAGTTATGTCCCCAACAATGAACTTAGCATGAAATCATTCTCTGTTCTAAACACTATATTTTATTCTCCTTTTATTTCATAAAAAGTTTAAAACTTTTTATCTTGAAAACAAACAAAAAAAAAACTCCAATCTTGTAGAAAAGTGGAACAAATAGCAAAATCAGCTGTAAATGTCCACCACCTAAGATTTTCCAGGTGTTTGTACATTGCATATTTGGGCTTGCCCTTGGTACACGGATGACAGGCAGGGGAGAGGGGAGGTAGATAGATAAATGTACATAGATACAGACAAGCTGGTGTGTGTGGTATAATTTAATGCTTAAAATAGAAGATAGATATTAGATATTCCATTATTATAGCATTTTATTTGAAATCCTTTGTAAACAAATACTGTATTTGTTTTAGAAAAACATATTGTGATGTGATTGTATGTACTTTTATACTGAAAATAATTTATGAATAGAGATTTTCACCCACATTCTACATTTTTATTTCATAACAAAAACCAAACCAATCAGCAATTAAGAATTATAAGGCTCCCTTCATATATTAATGGATATTTAAATTTACTTATGAGACAAATTTAGTTACACTTAACTGTATAAAAATTGTGAGAGTACTTTTGTTTAAAATTACACACTAAAATAGCATTCCAATAGAGAAAACAGGCTAAAGCTATGGATAGGAAAATTACAGAAAAGATAAACCAGAAGACCATCAAAAGTGAAGAGATGATCAATTTTGTCAGTAATTAGAAAAAATGCAAATTAAAATTGCAATAAGCTGTTATCCTCTAGCTATTATATTGGCAGAAATTGGATAAGTAGATGCCAAACATCCCTGCCATAGCTGACTAGACTAAGGCATAGGGTGGCCAGGTGAAATAGCTGCTGGTGGCTTTGAGACATCTCATCTAAATCACAATAGAGCTGGCCAAGTCAGATTTGTCTTGGTATCTGTATTTAGAAAATTTTAAATGAACACTTAGGGAAGAAGGAAGAAAATTTAGGTAGATCCAGCCAGAGGGCCAGGATGACCCCAAGGGGCCAAGTAGATGGAGTTGGGAGGGGAGGGGCTCCCGGCAGGTGAGGAAGCTGAGAGCATTGGAAGGACCAAGCTGTGTCTGCAGCAACCACCCGAATTCTGCATCTGCTGTCTCAGCGTCCGCAAACTCAACCAGCCACAGACTGACTATTCAAAAACAAAAATTATGACTGCCCTGTGTAGAGACGTTTTACCTTTCATTATGTTCTAAACAATACAGTATAACAACTGTTTACATAGCATCTACCTTGTATCACGTACTAAACGTAATTTAGAGATTTAAAATAAACAGGGAGACGTGCCATAGGTTATATGCAAACACTAACCTGTTTCATGTAAGGAATTTCAGCATCTGGGACTTTGGGTGTTCTGTGATGGGGTTCCTGGAACCAACTGCCTGTGGTTACCAAGGGACACAATTGTTTAACAGTCAGCGATGCCGTCGGACCTCAGAGGAAAAGTGCTAGTCTCAGTTTCTACCAGTTCCCTAGTTTCCAGCTCTTTCCTTTGGAGGAAGAGGAGCTGAGGGTATAGTGAACCCAGAGCTACAAGAAAAGGAAGAAGGCTTTCAGAATTCCAAAGGAAATTCACTTCAAGGACTCTCATACCTAGCCAAGTAATCAAGAGTGTCAGTAGAATAAAGATGTTTTCAGATATACAATGAAATGAAAGCCACTCTAAAATACAAAATGACCTCATGGTGTTTTTTTTTTTTTAATGTCTTTTTGTAACATGCCAACATTTGGACAAAATAAGTCCAGTGTTTCTGAAAGGATGATAATTGAGCAAATAAATATGTGATATTGAAAAAAATCAGTTAAAACAGACTTCACACTACCCAGTCACTCAGTACCTATTCATACTGTGTGGTAAATACTCCCTCAAATCGCATTGAGAAAGCTGGGCATGGTCGTGTGTTCCTATGCCTGTAGTCCCAGCTACTGTGGAGGCAGAGGCATGGGGATTATTTGAGTCCAGGAGTTGGAGGTCAGTCTCAATAACGTAGTGAGATCCCCATCTCAAAAGAAAGAAAATAAAAGAAAGAAAAAGAAATGGAAAGGAAAAAGAAAGAGAGTATTTGGGCAATGAGTATATTCCAAGCATGGAAGACAAATAAGAGACAAAAAAGACAAATAAGAGACAAAAAAGACAAAAAAGCCATATTGGCTTTCAGGCCGTTGACAGAACAGTCTGGGAGTCAGATATTTAAAAAAAAAAAAAAACACCTGCTAATCAGTCAACAAGGCATGACAAGTACTGTAATAGGAGAGTCAGATACCCCAGGTACAGTGGAAGCAGCACAGAGGTGGGTGCTGTGAACTCCACCTGGGAGTGTCACTGGCCAGGTGGTCTATTTGAGCAAGGTGTTGAAGGATAAAGAGCGAGCCAGTTTGGAATGGAGGTAAAAGGTGCTGGGGTGGAGTTGGATAGAGAACCTTTCAGGTAGCAAAAACATCTGCAAGGCAAGGAAGCATGAAATAGGAGGTAATTCGAGATTCTGAAACCTGAGAAGTGAAGAGTAGACTATAAGCTGAAGGTGAAGGTAGGGGCACTTTCAGCACCAGCAAACTCAATAACTAAAGGGAAGTTAACATCAGTGAGAAAAGGTAGGCAGGCTTAAGAAAAGAAAAGTGGTGAGGACCCTACCTACCAAGCAAGAATCGTCCACTCTCTTTGCTCTTCCTTGGACCTGCAGAGCCTGAGTTGGCTCAGACCTGCACATTGTGAAACTGGATGGGCAATCAATGGCTACTAGCAAAACATCCATATTTATAAGTCTAAAGTATTAATACACTATTTCAAACAGATTGCTAGGGAAAAATTAAATGGGACAGTACTTTTGGAAATATGTCAAATAGAATATGACTGGTGACAGTATTTAAAGAGAAGACTGGGGATTTTGCAGTTTTAAATTGTTAATGTTATTAATCATGGGAGATTCCTTGAGGAGGTCAAATGTTAAGGAAGGGTAACTTTTTTACTGAGGAGTAAAACTATTTCTGCCTTGGAAGTAATGTTTAAAGTCAGAGGATTTTTTTTTTCATTTGGTTTGGATTTTATGAGTACTTTAAAATTATGAACAATTATAATTAAAGAATATTTTTCTGTAGCAGAAACAATAGGAATTTTTTTAAAGAAAATCTATCATAAATTATGTAATATGTTAAAGCAATTCAATAAATATAATTCATAAATAAATGTATATTTCAAAATCTTATTGAAATATTCTAGTTGATTGGGTTATAATTTTGATCCTATATAACAATTTGTAGGGATTTGTTTCAGTCAAGTGGTTACAAAATTATCATTTAAAATCAGAAAAAGCACAATCATCTCTATTTACCATTCTCCTTCATGTGACTGGAAGGTAGAACCTGTTTTTACAATGGTACCCAATTAGTGTCTCTCCAGTGATTTGCATATTATTAACCTGGATACACACGAATAGGGCTTCACTTCCTGGATCTCACATGGAGCTGCCACTCATGTAACAAAAGTTTCTTGGGAAAGCCAAAAAAATCAGGACGCTTGTATTATTGGTGAAATATTTAGAAAGATAACAGAAGCTACCCTCCTCAAAAATGATGAGTTTGATGAAAAGAAATTAACAAGCTGTGTCGCGCTGCACATGATCAGCCATGCTTGCTGTCTAAGTCTGTCTGTTGGTTGTTGCTATGGCTACGAAAAGCCAGTGGAACCCAATGAGCTGTCTGCAGCAGTGCTGAGAGGACCAGCCATTTTACTTATGGAAAACAGGGTGGCATATTCTGCTGAGCTTTACTCTGGAAGAAGCATTTTTTAAAAATCTACCCAGAGAAAAGAGAAGCAATGTGTATGTTAGTATACAATTATCACAGCCATGCATGCCTACAAGCTGCTCTTTCGACAGGCTGTTGACCGCTATTGCAATTAGCTGATTGGAGAAAGTGGAATGCAGAATGATAATGCTGCATATCTGCTATCAGGCAGCAGGAGAGGGTTTTGTCTTGGGAAGGCAAGCCTTGCCTGCAATATTATCTGAGCAGCTCCCTAGCTGCTTATCCTGGAAACTAGTGATCCAAAAGGAGGGTGTTGCCCTCTGCTAACACGGGTCCTGTGCGTGGCTGTTGCATTGCATATGAGCGGCAGGTCTGAAAAAGCAGGTGTGTGCTCGGATGGGCATTGGACTGTAACGCAGGCGGACGCTCTCGGGTTTACCTGCTTCCTGTTAACAGATTGTTGGCTCACAGAGCATCTGCTTGCACGCTGAGGCCGAGGAGGAGAAGGGGGTTTCAGACATCCCACTTGACTGACAGAGGTAAGCTTTTTCAATTCCCCCCTTTTGAAAGCACAGCATTAAAATAACTTGGAATGAAACTTAATCAGAAAAATTTACATTGATTGTATAATCTGAATTTACCGAGGAAACACAAAAACATATATAGATACACTTAGACACACTTTCACAATATAGTGTCAGAGATATAAAGAATTTAAGTTCTAGAAATTGTGTGATAAAAAATATTACCAATATATCTTCGGGTCAAAAGTAAATATTTACTGTTTTTAAAAAACTATGATGGGGCTTGTCACTGTGGACAGTTTTTACAGCCAACAACCTTTCTCTCCTAGTAACAGTGGATTCTTTTATGACCTACACTTTCACATACTAAGAGAACCACATTAAAAACCAATAGCGTGTAAATTGTGAAGCATTTATTTTTAAGCCTTGTAACTGATTTGTGCAACTCTTAACACACCTGTGTATACCTTTAAATTAAGGAATTTCATTCCCTATGTAGGTCATTATAGTCAGTGGATTTTGTACTTGCTTATTCTGGATCGAGTGTCTCGGTACGCTGTTTGGTTTTGTTCGGGGCAGTTGTAGAGCAAACAGTGTAGGTACTGGAAGCTGCTCACACCTCCTTTCTGAGTATCATGCATGCCAGGCTGGCCTGGAGCACAACACCCCCATTGTGCTCCCCGGCTCAGAATCCAGGGAAAGAAAGGAAGTGGAGTCTCTGTATTGAGCTCAATCCCAGCTATAGTATGTGGCGGTAAAACTTCTTTTATTGCACAGTTTTTCTCACAAGCAGATAGGTTTCAGAGAAGAGTGAAACCAAAAACACCACACACCTCATACAAATGTACACCAATAATTGTATCGGATGTGTCAGTTGCTCTGAGATAATAGCACAGACTTTGAATTGCACTAGGAATTGCCCCTTCATGAGTATTTCTTTGATTTATAATCTCTTAGGAACAAAGCTGTTACTGTGGATTGAAATGGTTAGTCCAATCAAAATCCCTGGTGAGGAAATGACCACGGAATGATTTTAAATTCTGTTTCAGCCACATTTCAGTTTTACCTGAGTTAGTTCTGTTGTTGGTCTACCAGAAGGGCCAGATAGATTATAATGCTATTGAAAATATTTAATGAAAAACATATGTTTGAAAACTCTAAATAAAATCTTTTATCTACTGAAGGTGGAATTTACAGTGAAATTTATACATAGTAAGTGAGATGAATTCAGGTAAATACATTTTTATTTGCTACCTTTTTCTCCCTAAACATAGATGGCATGAGGGGTCTCCTTATACTTTTCAGTATATTTTCATTGATACACATGAGCATGAATCACCTGTTGTACAGATAGAGCGATTTTTAAAATACCTTCAGATAAGAGAATTGAAAAGCATAAGGAGAATTTTTTTTCAAACTTTTGTCCTAAAGGTCACCAGTATTCAAGATACAAAGATACAGACTAAGAATCTCAGTGCAGAGAATAATGGCCAAATTTAATGATGAGAACACATAAAAGTATTTCCATGTGAATGTGACACCATACGGGAAGAGATGGTGAGGTGATGACATTGTGTTTCACTTATGTTTAACTTTAAAAGGAAAAATTAAATGAACAGCCCTAGCTCTGAGTTTAATTCTATGAATAAAAATTTCAACCAAGTAAATGATTTTATCAGAGTAGAATGAATAGCAGAAAAAGTTCTTTCCAACCAAATTCCCTTTGAGTCTCCGAAAGAATTTGGAGAATTAACATAGTGAAATGACTGGAGGCAAGAAAATGATTCCTTATTAGTATATCTTGGGGGAACTTTTAGAATGACAAGGTGTGGAAATTCCCAAGACACACCTGAGGGTGTAACTATTGCCTTTGAAGTGGCTCAGAGTGGGACAAGAGCCGCACAGGAAGACAGACACACAAACTTTATACCTGTGCTGGTTTCTCTCTGTATGACTAATCCTTTAAGGAGACGGCTATGAAAGATGAGCATTCTATGTCATTTCTGCCCAGTTGTTTATTCAACAACATTAGGAGCCAAATTCAAAGACATAATCCTCATCTTTCAAGACTTTGCACCTTGGTTTTTGTGTAATTTTGGACACTTGTTTTTTGCCACTTTCCAACTCCCCTGTTGGCAATATCAAATATTTTGTAATTTCCTGAATATGCTCTATCAAACACTTCCAAATGAGACAACCCGTTTCAGACTTTTCCTTTAAATCTTGCCCCTCAACACCAGCTGTCTTTCATTCTTCCTTCAAAATCCAGCAAGGATGTCTTCCCATGCTGTTTTCACACCTTCAGCTCCATATGAATTTTATGCCTACAGTTCTTTCTACTGCACGATATTGCATTAGTCTCTGATCATAGGCTTCCAGAGTTTGGCTGACCTCTAATTCTGAAGTACTTTGTCCAGTGTCTGGTTACGAGTGGCATTCAGGCATTGTATCAGACTTCACTATTTCTTTACTAGTTACTGTATAGACTTGACCTCAAAACGTAAGTCCTAATTCTGCCTTTCATCAGAGAAACCCAAAACCTTTAGAAAAACAACAATGAGACTTTAACTTCCCTGACGGGAAAGTATGGCTTCAGGATCACACTGTATCATAAAAGCTGAAAGAGTTCTATGATAGATCAGAATTTTTTCTAAGGGAAAATTTTGCAACACATATTTTTTAAACAAAACAACTGGAAAGTTTTAATATAGAGATAAGTCTTTTTTTCCTATCTACAGACATTAAATTAATTTTCAGGGGAAAGTAAGGATAGTAAATATCCCTATTTGAAATTTGTTATAAACTCAGACTATTTACAACTAACGTTGACTTGATAACAAGTAGTTGATTGTTGTATAATATATTTACAGAATTGTTTATCATACTGAAGTCAGAAAAAAAAGTAAAGATTGCAAACAGGAAAGAGACTGGACAGTTGAAATAAAGTCAACAATAGCAGAATTTCTTTTAATTTTTCTAAATTCATCTGAAAGGTGAATCGCTAGTTACCTTATCTTCCCTACAACTTGGGTTCCCAGGTAAGATAAAATTCTTAGCAGAATTGTTATTTTTAATTAGCTTAATTTTAATAGCTATTTTATGGAAAAATTACCACAATGCTATCATCAAAGATATATATATCAGGAATTTTATTAAGCATCTAATCCCTTTCTCTCATATATCTGTGTCAAAAGTAAAAGTTGTAATTATTACTGTATGAATTTTTGTACAAAAAATAAAAAACACTAAGAAATTTAAAATATCCAGATGTTTGGAATTAGAAAGCAAAATATTTAGGAAATAACTTAAATTCATATTCTAGACATTTTCACATTATTATAACACCATTGAGTTTTCTAATAAAATAAGATAAATAGCAGTTCTTAATCAATATGCTATCTTCTAAAGATTTATTTTGGCTAACTTCTAGTTGATTTTAATATATAGCATGTTTTATTAAATAATAGCTAAAGCTAAAATTGAAAATTGAAATTCATCTTAATGACTAACTCCATTTAAACTATTATTTTAAATCACATATATTAATTAGATCTTAGGAAATGATTGCATAATATATCTATCATTTTCACTATTTTATATTTTAAGAGAGTTATAATATTTTGAAGGTCTAAATTACATATGATTGTATTTGATAGTGTAATGAAATGGTTTGCACTTACAGTTTACAATGAAGAGTTGCAAATAAATGATCATATTAGATAATTTTCTAAAGGCCCTCAAATAAATGATTTAATTATATATAGGCCTATTAAATTCTAAACTATTACTCTTCAAAATTATTCTAAGGTTTTCAAAATATCTTTGCATCATTTCTGAAAAAGTTAAGACATGTACATTTATCTTTAAGAAAATGTTTACATAACTATTGAGTTCTAAATATTGGCACATAACTCATGCTAATGTAAGCTCAATTAAAATGGTATTAGTTGGATGAATGACAGGGAACCAGCTATGTCAGGTGTTTATTTGAAGGTTTAATAGCATGACATATATATATAGATTTATATCACACTTTACTGTATCCTAGTCCTCAATACATAAATGTACTGTTTACTAACTAGGCATTTTGGCCAAAACGGCTGTGTTTTTCTCTTCCCTATACAAGTCTTCTATACAGAGTTTCAGCATTAATTTTGTGCTTTGGAAAATCATGATTTGACCAAAATTACAGAAAGCTGTCACTTTTCCTGAGTCTAATTCAAGGAAAATACTCTCATTTCAAAAAACAAAAAATACCTTAGTAATATTCTCATTAAACTTCCAAATATTTTTACACCCTTGTTGCAATTTAGAAAAATTTAATAAAGAATCTTGAAAATTTCAATGATTTTTTTCTTTTTTGTCCATTTATGCTGTTGTTTCCACTTTCAACTTTGGGTGTTTTTATTCAACCTAGACATTTAGTTCTTTTATCTTAAGATGTTTTTTCAATAATTGGCAAGCATCAAAAATACTTTCCTGTAATAAATCATATCCTCTCCTTTGAGTAGGGTATGATTCTATACACCATTAAATAAGTTTAAAAAGTAACACATTGTTGCTAAAAAGTGAGTTGACTTGATTATCAAGATGACTTCAATGCAGATTGATTCCTTTTCCTAATAAATGCTTACTGTAATGGCTGAATTTGAGGACAAAGCCACATAAACCACTCAGGTTTCAAATCTTCTGATGTTCTACTCTCAATTTGGCATTCTTTAGAGACTCATAAAGCTATAAAGATCAGCCCTAAGGAATCCAACACACTTGAGCAAAAATGGACTTCAAACTAAAAATAGTGACATTCCAAGCAGCGAATGTCAGAGTACTATCAGGAAATGACCTGAAGAATGGTTAGATTTGTAAATGAAAAAAAAAATTGCAACATTTTGGCCACATTGGAGGAAATTAGTAAAAATGTCCATTCTGACCTGCAAAAAGAAACCCTTGTACCTACTTCCTCCTGAGGACAGCTAGTTTCTTGGGGACATTAGTCTTCCAAAGAGGTGACCACTGTAGAGGCAGCAACCCAATTGATAGAAATATGCTTAAGCCTTTGAGTGTAAGGACTCACCTTCCACTGTTGACCCCTTACTGGGTCATTTTCATTCAACATCTTAATACTTTATACCAATTGCCTACTCTTTACACTATTAAAAAAAAAAAAAACTAGGAACTTCACACTTGGATGCTTCAAAATGAGCTGACTTTTTGTAAATTATCAAGATGTCTTCACACCTAATCATTTCAGTTCTCTGTGCTAAAGTAAACAAAGGAAAGGAGATTAGATAACAATGATTTCAGCTATTCTTGTGCTAATTGTGTCATCTAGTGAAGTTTCAGCGCTTTCTGAAATCAGTACACTTAATCTGTGGGATATGCTATTGCCTTGAGTAAATACTATGAATTTTATTCTATGGGGATAAATCACTTTTACAAAAACTTGCCTCTCAATATCTAGATCTGAAAACTTATATAGCATAGCATTATGGTTAAGAGGAAAATTTTATTATCACTTAAGTTACTCTAAGTGAATAGTCTTGTGTTATTTGATGTGCCTTGTGAACTGGCTTAAACCAGTTTAGGTAGAGGGAGGTCCAGAGAGTGGCCAGTAGCAAGAAGGAAAAAAGGGTAGGGGTTGCTTGAGCAGAACAAAAGTTGCAAGGAAAACTCAACTTTCTTTAGAATGGCAGCTGAGACATTGAAGGCATTCAGCAAACAGGTCACCCTATTAAATATTCAGTCAGCATTTGCTGAATGAAGGAATGGCTCATGGTAATCAGATCTTCCCTCTGTGCTGTGCAAATGTTAACATGTGATTTTAAAAGTGCTGTTTGCATCTAGAGATAAAAGGGCAATTCAAAAATTTTCCTATTTTTTTGGAAAAATCAGAAAAGGAACAAATATGAAAATTTTAGAAAATGCTATTTTTGAAGCAAAATGTGGTTTTCCTGAGAAGCACTATATTTCAACAATTACATAACACTAGAATATAATCAGAAGCTTGGAGAAAACTCAAAGGTAACTCCTTAACGTCATGAGTAATTGAGACAAGAAAAACTGATTTCTATTCTTAATTTTCTTAAAACTTCTGTTTAGAGTCACGTTCTTCATGAAATATCATCAACAGTCCATACTTAAAATTTTCCTTTTTTAAATAAGAGTTTGAAATAAGATTAAACAGATTAAACAGTCACAAAATTTAACAGAGAAAGGTGTTGTGTGGGAAGACCTTTTCAAGTTTAAAAATGTTAATGAGACTAGGAAAGACAGTACAAGGAATCAGACATAACTTTCCTATGCTCACATATGAATACACAACCAGTGTAACTCCACATCATGTACAATCACAAGAATGGAATCCTAATTGAAATGGGTTTCATTCCATGTATGTATAATATGTAAAACACTAAGCTAAATCTGAGTAATCCTTTTAAGTCTTAAGTCATCAACAGAGGAAATCATGGCACAACCAAAAATAACTTGACTCATTTAAATCTCTATAGACTATTTCCCCAGATTTTAATCTCCTGAACAACTTTACTACATGTTAGTTATATCTGACCATCAAAAAAAAAAAAAAACAATAAAAATGTTGGAGAGCATAATTATCTCCTTGATCAAAAATAATAATTCACTTCTTGAAAATTAACCTGTTTTGGGAAAAGGGTTTTAATAGGTCAATAATCCAAATGACTGATGATATATTTTTAATTCTTTGACATTGCTTTTACTTAGAAACAACTCTTCATATGATATATGGTCTGAAATCTGATTATATCACTGATTTCCTTTCTGTAACAGATTAATTTTATAAGACTAACATAATGACTTTTCCTTACATTCATAATAAAATCTTCCTTTGGAAGTGTGGGAAATATTTTTACTACATTTTAAATTAATTTTTAGACTTATTGTCAGAAGAGAAGAAAAATCATCATCTTCATTTAATAAAAGTAAATGATAATTAAAACCATAAGTTATCTAGTTTAGTTTAAAATCACCTTTCCTGTGACCCAAAGTCCCAGATGTCCGTTCAGTGCTTCATGTGAGAATTATCTGTCAAAATAATTTGATTTTACTTATATATTATTGTATGATGTAATATTACATCATAATCATCTTGAACCCTAAACTTTTGCTTTCTTTGGAATGAATTGAGAAAACATGCCCTCAAATTTTTTCCCCTTTTTTTGGCTCTGATATTTAATTTCACAAACATTGAGAGCTGAAAGATTATGATCATAAACTCATGTCTCCTGGGGAATGTTCCATTCATGAATTGCTTTGTTCCCAAACACCTCAGTCTTTTTTTTTTTTTTTTTTTTTTTGGTACCAGGGATTGAACTCAGGGGCACTCAACCACTGAGCCACATCCCAAGCCGTCTTTGGTATTTTATTTAGAATCAGGGTCTCACTGAGTTGCTTAGTGCCTCACTTTTTGTTGAGTCTGGATTTGAACTTGTGATCCTCCTGCCTCAGAGATTACAGGCCTGTGCCACTGAGCCCAGCTCAGCTTTTATTATGTTCTACTTCTAACCCAGCCTATGAAAAGAAGGATTGTATGACCATGGTACAGATAAGGAAAAGAGAACAGAAGCTTAATATCTAGGACCCCAAAGGACTGCAGTCTTTAAGTTTTTTGTTTTGTTTTGTTTTGTTTTAATTAAAGGACCACTTAACCAAACAAGGTTTTGAGTTCAGTAGGAACTAGAAAGTGTGCTGATTTGAAATTCAGATGTTTCAATTTCCAACCAGAAGTAAATCATTTTCAAGAAATCTGCTCATGCTGTAGCTAAGACATCTCCAAGTGTGAAAGAGTATTTCATCTGGCCAACAAAGCAGAATGGCTCTTTGTTAAGGGACATTGGTCCACTTATTAATTAATAGCAAACTCTCTAAGGAAACAAAATCAGAATTTTATCTGGCAAGTGTAATGCCAGGTGACAAATGATTTTGAGACTACCATCAAGCTTTGTTTGCTCCACAAACATCAGTACCAAGAGTCCATAAGGACCAAGTCCATCAGAATATCTGG